TTGAAATTATGACTTTGAAAGTCGAAATTATGACTTTGAAAGTCAAAGTTATGACTTTGAAGGTTGAAATTATGACTTTGAATGTTGAAATTATGACTTTGAAAGTCAAAATTATGACTTTGAAAGTCAAAGTTATGACTTTGAAGGTTGAAATTATGACTTCGAATGTTGAAATTATGACTTTGAAAGTCGAAATTATGACTTTGAAGGTTGAAATTATGACTTTGAATGTTGAAATTATGACTTTCAAAGTAAAAAAAAAATTCAACCTTAATTTCAACTTTCCATGTTGAAATTATGACATATCATTGGATGTGTTATTTCTTTTCATTGGCAGAAATGGGCTTCCATACATTCTGGTTGTGAATGACATTAAGTCCTTTTTAGTAAGAGAGAGAGGGAGCAGGCGAGGTAGACCACACTCTGAACACGGCAGTTCAGTCATTAGGAGCAATATCAGGTCTCTTTTGTAAAAAAAAAAAAAAAAAAGTCCCCGAGGCTCAATGGGATTAACCTGTTTAAATAAAGGTTGAAAAAAAAAAATCCAGTTCCAATAAACAACGTGCAAACATCTCAGAGCAGAACCCTTCACGGCAGGACAGCTCTAATTTTTTCCACTCTGGCTTCAGTGTAGCCAACTCGGGGTGGGATCCAACATCGCGTGAAGCTGTGCCTTCAGCATTTGTTTTTAAACTAAATAATTTACTTCCTCTTCAATGTTCTTTTTTGTCATTCGCATCACATGTGGTACATGAGGTGGAACAAAATTGTGTACTCAAGGTCCCAGTTATACCCAGAAATAGTCAAATATAAAGTATAAATAGAAACAGTATATAAGGATCTAAGATATACGCTAAACACTAATAATGTAAACTAATAACAGCAGCCTGAACATGAGTCTGTAATGAGCAGATGGGTATGAATACAGCAGCTTAGGTATCGAGCTCTAGGTACTCTTAAATTAATTGGTATTTTGTAATTTTATTTATTAGGATAAATGGAAAAATTAGTTGTTGTTCTTCCTTCTCATCTTCATACAGAAAAGGATCCAGAGATGCAGTACTGGACCTGTGGGTATAGAGGACTCTGCAGACGGTTCTGCTATGCCCAGGAGTACATTGTTGGTCACCATGGGTGCCCTCGAAGATACAGGTAGACACAAAAATCCTCACCGTAGGACTGTTGTAGCAACATCAGACATATACATCCATCAGAACAAACTCACGTATTCTGATAAGACGTGACAAACGATGCCCGTTTGTGTGATGAGCTCAGGTTGGACTCCTCTGGTTTTCAGGTGCTGTGCTGTGCGGTCTTAGCCCTCTGCTGCGCCACGACAGGCTTCCTGTCTCTGTGGGATCTTACAGAGCGCCTCTGTAGTTAGAAACGTTTGGTTTGCTCCCGTTAGATAGAACATTAGATTTTAATAGTAAGCTGAACTGATGTGCTGCCAATAAAAGCATTGAAACAAATGAACTGAAGTTTGATTTTTCTTGAAATATTCTTTGTTTCACCAGTTACCCCCAAATTGGGCTTTGACGTTGGTTAAAACGCTCAGTACCCCCACTCTGCTTGAAATAACAGGTCGATGAGCAGTCTGGTTGGGTCTGGCATGCTTTAGCTCGGTGCTGAACTGACACGAGACAATGACGGTCAAGTGACTGACCCAGATAGCTGTGATGGAGCGCAGCTTTTGTGAATGAAGCGTTATGTCTCTTGTCTGTGTTTATGTCATTTCACCGTCCTGTCTGACTGGACAACACGGCCCTGGAGCAGACGGACGACCTCACAATGCACGAGCCGCGACTGCAAAGCCAATTTCATTGTCACGTTATGCACGTCTGCATCTGTCAAGCTAAATATCTTTGTTTGGGTGGGGGGAGGGGACTTTAGCTTTATGGATTTATTTTTATTATCCCCCGTCACGGAACAAAGAGGGCGAATAAGAAATACAGTTGGCATAACTAACATGATGAGTAAGTGAAGACTTCCATTCTGGCGTGTGGCTGCATTTAGGCATAATAAAGCTCAGTATCAAAAATTGGGTTGCCAAGTCATAATCCAAGATGGCCACCAACACACACGCATTAATTTGAGGAAATTATGCTTTCTAGTTTTTTCAATGCTTCAAAGTGTAGTTTCCTCAAATGAGTGGGGTGGAAGCAGGGCTTAATTTGATCCTGATCCTGCAAGAACAGGATCCAGGAACGCTCTTATTTTGACAGGGTGCGTTCCGGTAACTGTTTGCTTGGAGCCGGTAACTCTCAGGCCTAATAATAATAAAGTTATGAACAAATATGACTGCCTTGAATGAATAAAACCTATATTGGCTATGTAAACTGAAAATAATTACATAAACACTACTGTATTTTTTGCCCTATAAGTCACTCTTTTTTTTGTGTGCATAATTTGCATGCCCTGCAACTTATACACCCAAGCAACAAATTTATGGATTTTTTCCCATATTTATAAATCAGCTTTTGGCCGAGATATGACCGTTTTCATTCATTCTGACTGAAAAGATTGAACACTAATATTTTCAGCCGCTAGATGGCACTCGAGTTGTATGGCATGAAGTTGTGTCATGTAATAGGTAAAAGTGGCTATTAATGACACAATCGTCTTGCCACAGTCCGCCAACCTTCATTCTGCTCGCTTGGAGCAACTGTCAAATCAGCTTCATTTCGCTGCGCCGCCCGCTGAAATGCAGCTGATTTAACCACTGAAGTGCATTTTTTCAGTAAAAGTTCAGCTGAGACGCAGCTTTACTATAAAGTTGAGCAAACAAATAATTGTTTTAAGGTGTTTATCTTGTTTAATTTCGAAAAAATGCACAGCGACTCGTCCCTCTGCGCGTTCCTACTTCCTAGAAGATTTGACCATCAAAGTGCATTTATTAAGGAACAGTTCAGCTGAGACGCACCTTTTCTATAATTTCGAGCAAACAAATAATTGTTTTTAAGTGTTAATCTTGTTAAATTCTTGTTAAAGTCCTCCCGTGCACGCTCCCACAGCCACCATTTGGCAGCCAATCGATTTTTGGCGCACAGGCCCACATGTTGTCAGTGACGCGCAACAAACGTGAATGCGACGTATACGGGGAAGCGACTTATTTATGGATTTTTCCACTTTATTAGACAAATATGGACTGATGCGACTTATAGGGCGGTCCGACGTCTACGGTGGAAAATACGGTAATTTTAAACATAGCTTCCTAATATCACATCAGAGCTGTCGCTTCACATTTCTGCTTCTGCTCTTAAAAAAAATCTCTGCCCCTAAAAGTTCAAAATCATGAGCAATTTTATTAAAACACACATAAATATAATTAAAGTTTTGCGCTACGCATACGTTCCTGTGCTTCTGTGAACAAGCTGATGTGTGACTCACTGCAGGAGTTATCTGAACTTTCACTGAACTGCATGAGAGAGACGATGATCTCGCCCCGTAAAGCTGTTTGTCGTGCAGGCAGAGTATTTGAAGCGATGTCGGAGCGACCAGGACGCTGTTCAGAATTGAGCAAGAGGATTGAGAGCAAGTCTTTTCTAAGCAACTGACGAAGTGCTAAATGTTTGGCAGTTTTTTCTAAGTGTGGCCAAAAACAGCTGCGCTTGTTGTCCCAGGGTGTGCACCTGCCCGACAAAAGCCCAGTGATCATTTTACTGAGGAGCTGCAGGTGCTTTATCCACAGTATGGCCTGAGGACACAGGTGTACTCTGTGGACAGGCTGAGGTCGAGTCGCTCTGTCTGTGCTTCAGCATAGACTATCCCCACCTTAGATTCACCAAAATATTGAATAATTATAGAATAAATGACGACTGTCTTAAACGGGTCAGTAAAATCTATGATTTTGTTGTTGTTGCAGTAGTCGGATCCTCGACCCACCTGTCAATCAATCCAGTAGGCACGTCAGCAACTGACCAATCAGCAACCTCAGTTTGCCCAGAAGTGAACGCCCCTTACCTGCAGAGCTGCAGCGGTGTTGCAATAGGAATGCTTCTGCAGTCATAGATTTCAATAACTGAGTTTACATACTTTGTTTCATGTTAATCTACTGTAATAATCCTTTGTAAAATGTACCAGAATGCAGGAAATTACATTTACTTTATTCAAAATGTATTCATGGTCCTGAAGGCAGACTAACATGCATGTTTTTGATCTGTGGGAGTAAACCGGAGTACCCGGAAAAAACCCACGCAAGCACGAGAAGAGCATGCAAACGCTACACTGAAAGACACCAGGTCCAACCAGGGATTGAAGCCAGGACCTTCTTGCTATGGAATAACAGTGCTAGCCACTGATCCATCGTGCTGCCATCTCAGTATCTCTTTAGTGTTGGCTTCTAATTTTTTAAAAATCTGGTTAGTGTTAG